TGTTTCCATCTTTTTACTATTGTGAACAATGCTGCCATGAACATGGGTGTGCATATGTCTATTTGAGTGATGGCTCTTATTTCTCTAGGATATATTCCTAGGAGTGGAGGACCACGGCTTTCATCGGCAGGCCATTGTGCTCAGTAGAAAGGTCTTCCTTATGTATAATTGAGCAATCTCCATGTAACTTCTATCCACAGGTTATTCAGAGAAGCTGTTCTCCTTCCATATAGGATCCCTTAAAATATTTGGAGGTGGCCATCATGTTCATCATGAATCTTCTGACAAAGCTTGGAGTTTCTTCAGTTAATATTAGCAAATACTAATTGTGTACTAAGCAACATGCCAAAATTTGCTTTGCATATATTAACTGATTTAATTCTCAAAGCAACTGTATGAGGTGGGCATTATTATCCTCTCTTTATGGATTAGGGAACTGAGGATTAGAGAAGTCAAATAAATTGCTCAAGATCACATAGCTTACATGGGTAGAAAAGTCCTTGGGTCCAGGATGTCTGACCACAGACTGCAGCCCCTTAGCCACTGCATCATCCTACTTTCTTCCATGGTTCCATGTTCTCTGCCCGTGCCAGCTGCTGTCTTCAAAACCTAGCTACAGCCTAGGGCCAGAAAGGGAACATAACATTCCACCCAGATACTAACTGACAGCACAAACTAGAACAAGATCCACAGACAATGCTTGTGATACCTGCAGGGCACATTCCAGGATTGCATCTCATCCCTTGGGCTGAGTAAAATTGGGTTATTGGGATATATGCCAAACTTAAAGCAAACATCTATCCGTTGTTGAGTTGATTCCAACTCATAGCAACTCTTCAGGACAGACTAGAACTGTCCCATAGAGTTTCCAAGGCTGTAATCTTCATGGAAGCCGACTCACATTTTTCTCCCACGGAGTGGCTGATGGGTTCAAACCATCGACCTTTTGATTAGCAGCCAAGCACTTAACCACTGTGCCACCAGGGCTCCTTTTAAGCAAATATCTAGAGGTAAGTTACTTGATTCTACCTTCTTCCTGTATGGGCAGTTGGTATTTTGAACTCAAAAGCAGGACCTTGTATTTTTGCTCTGTTAAATTTCATAATAGAGCCTTCCCATTGCTCCAGCCCGTCAGTATTTTTTAGTATTGATTGTTATCCAGAGATTGTCATCATTCTACCATCTGAGACTGTTGGGCCAAAGAGAATCAAATAATTTACCTCCAGATGTTTGCTTTAACTTTGGCATATATCCCAACAACCTGATCAACTGCTAATAAAATTGTCCTTGTGTCTTGGCCATTAATTCTGTCTACAAAGATAACATCAGAAGCCCAAGTAACTCGCTGAATTGGCAAGGTATTATTGTGGCTGCTGCATCTCTTCGAATTTCCATTGGAAGGAGAGGTAAAATGGTTTGTAGCGAATCTCAACCCAGTTCAATTGAAGGCTCCTTTCAATTATGAGTTCACAAACCAGTTATCTTGCCAGACATGGCCATAAAATTCACTAACCTATGCATTGTAGGTTGTGCTTTATCATTGTGAAAATCAAAATGGCAACTACTCTGGTACCGCTTCATGTGCCCTTGAAGGTTACTATCAGTCACCTTTGCCAGCCACAAGGAGACCCAAATTTATTTGAACAATGTATCTTTTTTTTTTTTTTTCACCCATCTTAAATTTCTGTCCACCAGGCCAGTGTGTCTTGTGATCTCTACAATCAAGAAAACGTGCTTGCTAAACACAACCAAAACAAACTAGGAGTAGAGTTCACAGAGACTGACTCAGACATATGAGAGATGTATAAAGAGGAAAGCAGGGGGGAATGGAGAAAGACTTGGATCAGGCCAGGAATGGGCAGGAAGGTATTTTCTCATAGTTCAAGCTTGTGTGGAATGTAGTCACAAAAGTTGTTGGGTGTCCCATGGTCAGCAGGATGAGATTTAAAGAATATGGCAGATAGCCTTGGATCCATCTGAGAATGCTCCTTGGAAGCCAAGGATGGGGGTTTTGGTGTAGGAAGGTTTATGGAACAATTAGACTGGGCTCTGTTTAATAGCATTTGTTGAGCCACCTTAGTTGGTAAAGCGGTAGGCGGATACAAAGATGAACAATTCATGGTCTGTGCCCTTTAAGGAGCTTATCATCTAAATGGGGAGATAGAATTTGTATACAGATAACAGTAAAGCAGATTTTGGCAAGTCCCCTTCAGAGCATATGCAAGGTGTTAATGGAAACACAGATGAGGGGGGCTAGGGAAAGAAAGGGCGTAGGTGGTTCCTGCCAAGCAGGGGCTCCCTACCTCGTGGAATAGACTAGGGAATGTTGTGTGCCGTTGTCTATTGCGACTCAGCGACTCTATAGGACATAGTAGAACTGCCCCATAGGGTTTCCTAGGCTGTAATCTTTACGCGAGCAGATTGCCAGGTCTTTTCTCCTGTGGAGCCACTGGTGTGTTCACACTGCCAACTTTCCATTAGCAGCCTAGCGCTTTAACCATTGAACCACCAGGGCTCTTTAGTAAACAGATAATACGATGACGTGAGGTAAGTATTATGATGGAGGAAGACAGAGCATGCTGTGGGAACACAGGAGAGACTGGGGGTCGGGGGCAAGAGAGGTGATGCATCTATTTGGAATAGGCATTGGCCTGTGGAATGAGGACAGGGGGTGTTTTAATTAGAAAGAGCGTTGCCATTCACCCCCCCTCAGGTGTTCAGTATAGCTAGAGCAAGGGAACTAGCAGGGCGATGAGGAAGTCTGCCGGAGCAGTTCACGTGCCAAGAAGTCAAGATTTCATCCTGGGGGCCACCAATGGCAAAATGTAGCACAGATGCCACCACTTCTTCCTCTGACAGCCACCTCAGACTGTGCTAAATCCATCAGTAACTTTTTCCTCTTGATTCTGAACTTGGCCTCCA